TTTTTTGGAACATTAGTTGGTAGGTGTACTAAATGCTACCGTATTTTCATTCAGTTACTTGACAATTTTTTCAAGTTTTAACACCTCCCTTCTATTTCCGATCCCTCCCATTTTGAAGTTATGGTGCAATGACAAAAAAATTTCCAAACTACCTCTAGAACTCAAATACCAAGCGTCATCGGGTTTGTTTCTCGACACTAAAATTACGCGTCATTACCTTAACTACGAACTATCAACCTCGGAAGCAGTGTGCCGACATATATATATATATATATATATATACACACACACACTTAAATGTATATAAATATAAACGTCATATCATATGTATGTTGAGAGAGAAAGTGTGAGATTTTTGAGAGCGTGAAGAGGGCAAATAAATAGCGCGGACGCGCTGTGAAAATAATAGCAGTGATTGTATTTATTAGTTAATAGTGCCCCCTTCACCTCCTTTTTAAATTTCCGTCTAGGAGTGTTTAGCGTTCCCGAGCCGGATGCCTGCTGCTGACCTGCTGGAGGAGAGAAATCCGGTATGTAGAGAGTATATAAGTGACGTACGAGTTAGTTTTGGGGTATCGAGAGAGTGACAGGATATCATGGACGGCTATTTACCGGCTGAAAAATCTTCGTCACCAGCTTATTTACTTTTATAACAAGAAGGAGAAGGCTTATACTTAAAAAAGATATGTCACTCTCCGACAGCAGAAAATTTGTAATAATTAGTCAATATGTTCATTGTAGTTTGATAATAAAAAAGCTTTTTATTCATACGGGATACTTAATAAAAAAAAAAAAAAAAAAAAAAAAATCATGTTACGCTATTACATTTAACATGGTTATTTATGTACGTTTAAGTATTTTAAAATTATTAATCAAATTTCATTTAAATACGCTTAAAGCAAAATACATATTATGTTTTAATATCATAAAAAAAAGAAGATTTACTGAGCGAGTGTGCTCGATATACTCATACTAACAAGCGGCGCGTGAGGTACCTCGAGGCACATAAAAAAACAATCAAACGCACGAATGAAAATGTGTAAAAACGTAACTTAAAAAATACCCAGGTGACTAACAACAAGGCGCAGGGAGTATGCCACGTGCACAGTGTGCTTGCGTACATTGCCTCCGTGAGCTGCTGATGTTACAATAAAATGTCGGTAATAGCTTATTGTCCTATATTACATGAGATGGCCACCAAGCTTCAGGTTTGCCTTAGCTGAGGCAAAATGCAACGTCTCGCAAGATGGACTGTTGGACAACTCTGGATTGATATCTTAGTCCACAATGGCTACGTTGAAAGTTGAGTATAACCTATTTAGGCAATGGTAATATGACAGACCAGTAATAATGAATAGTGTCCATCTCTAACATGCATTAAAATGAGTTTTTTTGAGCTCCGATCGGTCCAATAGCTTTTAAGTCAACTGCAAAAAACCACTATTTTAGCCATTTTTTTTTTTCTATAACTTTTATTCTATTACATGTAAAGAGCTCAAACTTCAACAGAATATGTATTTTATAAGCCTTAATATGAATACGAAATTTCAGCAAGATTGATATTACATTTTTTATAAAACTTTGAAAAAACTGAAAAAGTTCCTTTCAAAAAGTTACCATAAAAAAGTTTTAGGCGAACGTACACAAATTCTTATTAATCGAAAGTCACTCTACGACATCCTGCTGTATTATTACACCCAGCGAAAATTTAAAAAATTAATTTAAAAAAACTGAGCTATCAAGGTACCGTTGTGGGGGCGGATGAGTTGATGATGCGGCTGAAGGAGAAATTCCGCAAAATTTTAACAGAAATTTCTTTTTAAAAAAATTTTATTGTGTTTTAAATGGCAATGATATAATAATATTTTACATACAATTGTGCATATGTGTCACATGCATACATATAAAAACATCCTTCAGACAGTATGTCTGAAAATCTGTTTATTTAAAAAATTAGTTTGATTAAGACATACACAACATTATAAATATACAATTCTCTTAAATTATCCAAAAAACGTTGACTGTTATATATTTGACTCTGATTTTGTTAAAACTTAATATTCTTGTTTTATTTATTATGATTAGCAATCACTAAGTAATTTAAATAACAGTTAAAGTGACAAAGCCTAAAATAAGAATAAAATCTGTTAACGTAAAAAAGATTTGCAATACACTAGAAAAAAACTGAAGTATGTTTTGGAAAAAGCTTGTTTTACGACTATTTGCCAATTGTATGACATGCAGCGCTTTGCATCAACGTGAGATCTTACAATCTGATCTATCATTTTGTTAACGTCTTAAGGAGACTGCACAAAAAAGTTTAAATACATTGAAACGAATCAGTTTCCTAATACAAATCTTTTAGTTTAACAGCAGTGACTAATTTTAAAAGTAAAATGACTTATACAATAACAAAAAATATAATAAATATAACATAACATTAATAATATGTATACACATACATAAATATAACAAATACAAATGTACTTTGTAGTATAAGCGGTGCATTTCTATTAGAATATTAATTTAATTTCACTATTACATAGTTAATTACGTAGTTATACCACTGCCATTAACATTAGTTTATCATTATTCATTACTTCATGAATATTCTCTAGTCTTGATAAATATTATGTGAAATTACCGTTCACGACTACGAAGTAACATCCTTGTAGGGGTAATTAAAAAAAAAGGTATGGAAAATAACGAACAGATTTATTGGTACAAGTTTCAGTTGCTATATTTTTGGAATGCTTGTTATTAAGTAAGAGCTCTCTCAAGTAGGCTCAGACACTCTTTACCTTATGTTTCGCTATTTTTTCGAAGATTTCTTATCTCTTTTCTTCCGTATTCACTGTCATATTTCGTTAAAATTATGCTTTTATTTATCAGATATTCTCACACACTCTACTTATTTACTACCTACACGTATATATATAAATAAGTGTGGATAGTATAAACGACAACTTTAGTGAATCATATGTCATTTTTTGTTTCGAAATTATTAGTTTTGATTTCATACGTTTTGTATTCAATAACAATCTACTAAAAAGTAGCTTCAGTAGTTTTTGATAAGTTGGATTATCCCTAGAATTTTTGTGCGTTTCTGTTTTTTACTGATTCGTTTATTCACAGCTTTTTTGTTTTACCTAGATACACAGCTGGACAACTAGTCAATGAAAACTATATACAACGTTAGTTTAGGATATCATTGTATATTAAAATTAAATAGTGGCTTTATTGACAAGCTAGCAAGGTGCTGCTGTCCCTTAAGAACTAAGCCTGTGGGGTCTAGCCATCTTAAAAAAAAGAACAAAAAAAACTAATTATATTAAAAAATTGATACAATGTGCGTATCCTAGATACTGACTTTATCGAATGTGTGTGAAAAAAAATCTTATTTTTTTTAAAGGAATCAAATTCACAATACCCAGAGAATTTCAAGTATCTCGTTAGAAGGTTATTGCGCTTACCACTAAGCTATTAAAGCTTTTGTTGTATACAACAACAAATGATAATAAATATACATTTTGAAAGATATTGTAGTAATTGCTCAACATAATAAAATTAAATAACTTCATAGTTACGGTTGACAATCTACATTTTATATCATTCATGAGCAGAGTAATTTTTGCTAGTATGGGAGCACACGTTATGGGTACGCACTATTTTATACAGCCTAAATTTTATCTTGAAGGAAGTGTCCTTGTAATGTTTAAAATACTTGATATTGATTAATCGTAATAAAATAACTGGGCCTAATTATTTTAATAATTTTTTAGCCATTAAATAATTCACCATCTGTTTCGATAATTTTCATACTAATTATATCTTGTCCATAACAAAACTACACTTTTTACTCGGTTCATTAACGTAAGGCAAATTTTACCTCTAAATAAAGTTTTTAAACAGCGACTACTGAGGATGTAAGAATTTTTTTTATTACTTATCCTAATTTTCATCTGAATTACTTACAATGCAAAAACTTATTTTCACTTTTTATACAGTATTTATTTATACAGTACATCACTTGAGTGATTCTAACGGGCATGCTCTACTACCTCTATGTGGAGAGTATTGATCCTTACTCCAAGTAGTATAATATATACCTCATTCGATTATCCGTTACCCATCCAAATTTACAACTATTGTGACAAACAGCCTTTCTAAGCCCCTCTTTTGACTCTTACCCTCAGCCTTTATCCCAATTTTTTAAATTGATCACGTTCATCTCTCTCTCTCTCTCTTTCTCTCAGGACACAGAAGACGCATACCATGGGGTCATCCTAAGCTGCACAGCTAGGTGGGAAAAATAGTAGTTTTCCTACGAGTTTGAAAAGTCTTTGTTTGCGAACCGAGAGGTTTGCGGCCCGAGCCGAAGGCGAGGTTCGTAACGAGGTTCGAAAAGAAGACTTTTCGAACGAGTTCCGGAAAACTGCTTTTTCGCCCGAGGAAGTACCAGCCTCCCAAAATCACCCAAGGGCGGAAAAGTTATTTTTGATAACTTTTTAAAAAAAATTTCAAGTTCGTAATAAACTCAATATGATGCTTATAAGATGATACACGTTATTATTGTGAGGAAAAAAAGGCGATGTAAAAAAAACAAACTATTTTAACTGTAGACTTAATTTTGATTGAAATTTTTTATCTATCACAGTTTCCCCTATTACTATATTTTTTATTTTTTGATCATTTAGTTTATGTGTAGTACCTAAGTAATTTCAGTCAAACTTCTAACGATATTATTTAATCATTGTTTAATAATAATACACAAGCTTGTTTTATGTGTCAAAAATAACTATTCAAACATGTAGAAATTCAGATGTTATATTAACTTAAATCAAATTTTAATAAAAAATAGCATTTTTTATAAGACCACATAAAATCATAACACACGACTTTTATGAACTCTATTTAATATGTATATAGTGCAATGAATGATATATTTTATGTGTCAGTAATCGAGATAAATGATTTTCTTGCGGTGACGAATTACATTGTTCAGTAGAAATATATATTTTTTATTACTATAAAAGAGTACTAGATAAAACAAATAAGTTGATGCAGTATTATTTATGCCTTGAATTTTCTGTACGTGTCATTTTTTGGCTAATCTGTTCTTCTTGCAACAGCTGACTTCTGAATTGATTGACTTGGCTTAACGTTTCATTTAATACATCTCGCTGTTTTAGTATAACTTCTTCCCACTTTTGAGCATAGTCTGTAATCAAATAAAAAAGCGATGATATATTATTTTTAAATGTTATTGTATGTATTGCTGCGTTGTTGCAGCTTTTATTAACTGCTTAAAAAATCATTCATTTTCTGTTATTCACTATTTTTTCTCTTTGACTGAAATTTACCATGATAAACATGGTTTTAAGAAAATGATTAAATTATAGGTTCAATATTCATAGAGAAGTTTAAAAAAGATTTTGTTAAAATATTCATTTAAGACTTATGTCTATGGATAAATTTTTAATTTTTGAGACGAATTGCAATTTTAAGGATAACTTATAATGACGTAAAGTAAGTTACTGTTGTAGTACATAGTTGGCTCTTATATACCAATCAAACTTTTTGGACAAAGTGTGTCTAATACAGCATAACTTTGACATAATCCTTCACAAAAAATCATTCGTGTAGTCAAAGAAGAATAATGCCAAGTAGAAAAGTTTCAAAGAAAGAAAGAAAAGAGTGTAGTGGTGAACTCAAAATGCTCTTTGAAAATAAAGTATTAGAATTATTGTTAATATCTTTTTTCAGCAAACAATGGTACTAGAAAATAAAAGATGCAATACTAAAACAGCGATCTTGTGTCATAAAAAAACCTAGAAAATTAAGGGTCGTGCAGTTTTTATAATTTTTTATTTTCTTGAAGAGAATGCTTTGCATTGTTAAAAAACGAGTTTTCTTAAAGTGTATCAAAGATTTTTCTAATAGTGTTAAAGAAAAAATACATTATCTATGCATCAGCCAAACAGTTAACGTTTAGCAATCAACAATAGATGGATATCGATTCTAGAACTCACATTTACATTCGAAGTATGACTAAGTCTACCTTACTAAATCTGCATACTTAAAAAATAAAAGAGAAGGTTTTGAAATAACAGCCACCAACTTAACGTAATATGTACAGGCTAGTTAACAAGTAAATTAGTAACTTAGAAGATAATAAACAAAATAATATTAACTCAATGTCAGTGAAGGAATAATAGAAAGACCGGCGAGTTATGGTGTGAGACGAAACAAGCTATTGCTTTGAGAGAAAGATTTGACAGCGATTAAACTTAAAAATATGTATGGAAACAGTTTCAGGCAAATTTTATATAACGGTGTTGAGTAAACGTCTGAGGCAGGGTATGGGGGAGTGAAAAAGGTAGTTAGTAGTATAGGTTTGTTCTGTAATACATCGGGTATTTCTGAGGTTGCGTTGAGTATTTCTGACAGAGAAGAGTACAAGTCAATCAGGTCATTTTATGAGATTACGGATAAGTTTATTAATAAATAATGCGTCATGGTATTCAAGAAAATTTTCATAGGTAACGAACGAGTAATTTAATAAATACGGAGAATAATTGTGATAAGTGTATGTTATGGGAGAATCAGTTTTGTAGGAGGCAAGTCTAAGAGTGCGATGTAGTATACTGTCAAGTTAAGAAAAACTTTGATATGTATAAGAGGACCAAACAACAGATGCATAAGTTATATGTGGAATTATTGAAAACTTAAATAAGTATATGATGGACTCTGCCAGTAAGAAATCACGCGTAGTTCGTTGTGTAAAGCCCAGAAGCTTTAGAAATGACTTTTCTGATATGGTATTTGAAGGACCAAAAGGAGTCGAAAGTAACAACTAGATTAGTTAAAGAGTCAATCCGTTTTAAGTCACAGTCATTTATTAAGTAACTGTAAAGTAACGTGATTTGGCTTTCGTTAATCGATAGAACCTTACACTTATTCTAGTGGACCGTGAATCCGCTGTTGGAGCACTCTAAGGTCGCATTTAATCGATTTGACTGTAGAAGTTAAGAATCTGTATGAGATATAATGCATTTATAGATTTTTATGTCATCTGCATAGATTAAACACGATGATTCAAGAGAGAGTGATGATGGAAGGCCGTTCACAAACAGTATCAATAGTAGTTGATCAATGTATCAGCTCTGTGGTACTCCAGAGGTGGTCAGGAATTTATCCGACAAAGCGTCAAGAAGGGCGATTTTCAATATTCTCCTATCTTCTGTACGCCTTTTTTCGTGTATCAGGTCAAGCAGCTCCTGCGGGAACTAAACAGGCAATCTGAAATGTGTGGCCCAACGAATAAAAATACACCTGTTGATTAGACTATGTATAACGTTGTAAGAAAACCGAACGTAGTCATCATTAAATTTATCGTGCAATGATTGTTGTCAAATCACTTCATCAAGTTCCACACAAATTATTTTGGTAACAGCAGTTTTTGAAGTCTCTGTAGCTTGGGTATGGGTTGGTAGGAAAAGCATTGCGAGCAAAGTCGATGTAAATGTGCTGGATGAGTAATGCAGGTCAGATAGAATTATTGGTTCAATAACTTTGGTTGCAGTAACGTGACTATCAAGTGCAAACTGGAAATTCAGTGTATAATTCTGACCAGAAATGACTTTGAGAGTTTGTTGAAGGTCTACAGTGTTACATATGTTGGGGAGTTGAGTAGTTGCTTGATGTCGGTCCAGTGGCATATATCCTGTCAGGTGCCAAGAAAGAGAATAATTAATCCAGGAACCCTTAGCCAAATTAAAGTTAACACATATTAAAAATTTGCAGGAGTTATATCGATTCAAGAGTGACTGAATATGGTAACAAAGTTCAGTGTATGCCACTAGGGCAGAGTTTGGCGCCATATAAACAACTATTAAAATGGAGTCTATCGCAGCACCACGCAATCGTACAACTACGCTCTCAATATTTATTTCTACAAATATTCAATTAAATGGTATGCTTCTGTCTACTGCAACCAAGACACCATTACCACGTCAATCACCCTCCTCAACTGCTTGTCTGTTCTGTCTGTAGATGTTGTATTCGAGTAGAGGTAGCTTGGAGTCCAAAGTATGTAATTCAGCCATGTATCGATGAAAATTATTATGCCTAAAGTTGTAGCAGGCAAGGGTGAAGTTGATTCTGTTATAGGGAGTTTATTATACAGAGATCTGACATTTTGGTAATACACTTATATATTTACTTTGCTACTACTATTAAGGGTTTGTGTTTGAATAAAAGGATTGTTGTTAATCAATAATGGTTGGAATCCCTCAGACGTATTTTATTCCCTTCTTAATGGCTGGATTGGATAAATCATACCACTTCACCTTATCCACCAGCCAAGAAAGATGACTCGGTGTGCCCTGGTTTTATAAGAAAAAATGCTGACACCTTAAGGCAACTTAGAGCGTTGTGGGATCGATCACATAATTTATTCTTTGCTGCACAGAGAGACAAACAGAGGCCTAAAATTAGCTGTAGTGGAAAATTTACCCAGACGAACTAACAAGTTAATGTTGGTAATTTTAACAGTTTATAATATATTCTTTGCAGCTATCTCACTCTTTGTACCCTGACAACCATTTGATAGCTCTGAAACATTATAAAGAATAGCATTTGAAGACCTCTTACGCCCGTCTTACATTTCTGTTGCAAAGCTATCTAGAACTGCCTCGTTGGGATGAGAAGAGCGGCTCTTAACTACAGCAAGTCTATTTTGAACCTCTTTGAGATTCTAAAGAATAAAAAAAGATTACTTTAAGGTCTCATGCCTTCTGTATATGTCTAGCATAGAGGCTCATGAAGATTCCAACCTTTACATACTTTTAACAAGTTCATTAACTTTAGCCTTGCTAGACGTGTTACTTGCTTTAACCTTACTTTCTTGTTCGGCAATTTTAAGGAATAAATAAGGTATTAAATTTTTTACGTCGTCTAATGTAGTACCTTTAACAGTATCCACAAGCAGCATGTCTGCAGAAGTGGATAAATTTTTGATAATGGTTAAGGACCTCTAAGAGTCAAAACGCTCTTTCTTTGACTGCTGCAAGACTGGAGGTAATCTATCAGGGAGCAAGTAGATATCCCTGTAGCAACGGTGCACTTCCAGGGTATCAGTCGCAGAGCGAGCCGCACAAGAAGCGTGATATACCCTGTTACAATTGCTACAGTGGAACCTATAGCTCGGCAACTTCTTGCAGTAGCCACAACCATCTAGGCTCATGTGGCAGGAAACAGTACATAAGATAGTTAGAGGTAAGGAGTAGACACTGTTGAGTTTAAGCACCAAATCTAGATCAAAAGGCAAAAGCAGTACTAACCACAGGCACCAAGAATCACAAACAAACCATGAACACCATACGACAATGGAAAAAATTGAAATGTAAAAATTATTCGCACGAAATAACGAACATAGTAGAGCACATGTGCTGCGCCGCCACCTTTTTTTAATTATTATACACGATATTATGTATGATATATTATATACAAACGACGTTTTCGGTAAATTTTGTTCGTGATATAGATTTTGTTACGTATACAATTATAAATAGAAGGAACACCAGTTCTAAATCCATACCTGACTGGATAGAGTCAACTATTTACTATGAACAAATCTCGTTGTAGTGGCGCTACCAATGCCATAAAAGTATAAGATCTACTTCCAAATAAAAATTAAAAGTAGACAAAAACTGGGGCCAAACTAAGCTGTCACGGCACACCTACCTTGCCCATAGCTTGGCATCTTACTTGACCTACCAAGGGTTTGTAATACGGCGCTAACTTGGGCGCAGCCTGGCCTGGCAAGGCATTACAAATCCACCTGCGTCCAGGCTGGGTTGCTTGAATTGGACCATACGATTTGGATCGAAAGCCCAATTTAATTTCTACTCAGGCTACTTTCATGCTGGCCAATTTGGTTCTGAGCTCCGGCATAGATGGCACCACTTGATGGTAAAAACCTTAATGTGAAGTATCATGGATGAATCTAGTCTAGATCAGGCACGTAATAATTTTCCAAGTAATTTTTTAGATCAAATTCTTCTATGTTTTCAGTAAATACAATTTATAAACCACCGTTATTTTGAAAGAAATCAAATAAAATAAAATAAAAAGTTTTATTAATAATGCTAACTGAGGCTGAGTTCAGGTGGAGCACGCAATTGGCAATACGGAATAACTTAAGCCCATGACAGAGAG